AGGAATGTACGAACTTACCGACTTTAAACCTTAATTTGCAGATATTAGTACCTACTGTTGTAAAAATTTATTCATTCTTATGTCAACAGTTATTGTTTGGTTGAATTTTCCACGAACCTAGTATTTAAAACAATCTAAATTCTTTATACTACAATAATATTATTATTTTATTGAAAATTAAGTTGCTTAATGATATTCTGAAAATTAAGAAACGATCGCAAACTAATGACTTATTAACATAATGGAGAAAAATTATCGCAATTTTATATGGAAATGGTTTCAAATTCACTGCAAGTATTTTTTTACCTCAAGCTGTAAGTACATAGTCAGGAAAATGACTCTACTTCACTCGGAAATTAAAGTACTCGGCCCCAAAGAGGACCTTGTACTTCAATATTTCCTCGTCAGTAATGTGACATTTTCCTGACTTTTACGTAAATACGTTGTAGACAGTTGATTACACTTAATTTATGCTAGACATCAAATTGCAACTAGAAAACAACTTCCAACAGAATCAATTGATCAGTATCTGACTGCTCTCCTCTAGTTGTGGAACCAGATCCTTCAATTGCTGCTATCTTTGCCTGTAGCTTTCTTTCCCAGAACCCTTACCGAAAGTTTTCTTAACTAACCTTGTGATTTTTTTACATAGACGTAAAAAGAAAGCAAAATACTATGTAACATTACCAAAAAATAGGTTGCCATTTAAAATTTTTTGCGATGACATTACATTCTGAAACTATGACGTCAAAAAAAATTTGAAAACCGTCAGATTGTGGAAAATATTTAATCATTCAACTTTTATTGACACCTTTTTTTGATATGACCAATAGTAACGGCTCCAGCATCGGTGTTGCTTACTTTTTATTCGCCCTGTATATGGTGTTGAGTTTTCTCCCCTCAAAACGGGGCTATTTTCTTAAGAGATAGTAGGAAAAAACAATTTCTTCTCTATATTCGAGACTCCTGCATATATCCATTCTGACAGAGGAACCTCATTTCTCTCGAAAGTATCTCCATACACAAGGCATCGCTACGAGCTCGACTACTCCATATAACTCTGAGGGCAATGGACTTGTTGAACGGTATGTCATTGGCTGTGAAGAATGAGGGATTGGGGACTTCTCAAAATTCCAACAGTTTCGGCAGTTAGTGATCTTTGTCATTAATCTTTAAGGAAATTCCGTGAAAACACTGAAGAGCTCCCCATTTCCAAAAATGAACCTTGTCTTACTAAAACACTCTTTGAACCTGGAAAAAATCTCGACCAAGACCGTTATTAGCCTTTTCTTTTATACATATGATGATCAAGAGCAAATCTGAACATTGTTTGCATCGCAATAAGTCTAAATCATCGGATAATTGCTGAAATTGATTGGGATTTTATTCGGCATAGTATGTCACAGAAATAAAAGAGCGAGTACCGAGTGTAATAATTTCAATTGAGTGTTTTTATGAGGAGAGTTTTGGTGCGAGAGCGATTTACTGAGCGAGTATCGACAGGGATAAATTTTCCTCGAGGGCATGGGCCTGTTTTCTTGAGCAAATTTTTTGGAGGGGAAGGTTTTTTGAGAGAAAATGTTTTGAGTAAAAACTGGGTGTGTCTACTAAAATTTTCACCCCTCACAGACTCACGATTTTAAATTACTTATTGGTGATCATTAGAATTTGATACGGTAATCAGATTTGTTTTTTTCATTTCAGTCAACTTTTACCTCACCTCATCCTTTTATTTTACAGTTAATCAGACAGTGAGTTGCTGAGTTGTAGAGCATTACATTTCCTGCAATAATATGTAACATTATGGGTCTATCCACAATTGGAAATATATGAATTAATTTATATGATTCCAATTACCTTAGAAATGTGTAGGAATAGGTCAACTAATTAATGTAGAATAATATAGTCTTATCGATTAGAAGGTGTGGGGAAGGGGAAGGGACTTTTATGCGCAAACCCGAAACTAGTGCGTCGTTACGGAAAATCTCCCGATATGAAAATAATATCTTCCTACTACAACTTTTTTCCTCTAGTAAACACATTTTCGTCACACTTGTTTTTCTAGAATCTCATTCTTTTATCTTATAGGAATATAGTCGGACAGAAAGCTGGGGGCATTACATTTGCTTCACGAATTTGTAACAATCCGTAATCGGAAAAATAGAGGAATTAATTTATGTTAATTTCGATTCTCTTAGAAATGTATAGGAATAGGCCTCCGATTCCGGGGATTGGAAAGGTTGTATGTTTCGTTATTTGCTCAAAACTCGAGACTGGTGCATCGTCACAAAGAATCTCGTAACTTAAAGGTAAAATATTGCTCGAATTTTTCTCCTATTCATATTTTCAAAAATCTCAAAGTTTTAGACCTAGTTAATGTAAATCTTTTATTTAATATTTTTTTGAAAAAAGTTTCATACAGGAATTCCAAGGGTGGCAATGTAAATAAATATTGCTGTGTGAAATGGTATGCGGTCACTATACCTCCCAACAGACACCCAGCTAGCTAGCTCAAATTACACAACTTAGTTTATTTTTAAATTCTCCCTCTAGGGACAAGTGGGTTCCGACACAATAAAACCCTACCTGGATTTCGAATTGCGATTCAAATTGACACATAATGAAAAATTATAAGAATGTTCATAATGTATATACCTAATGTAATACAAGAAAATCCTGTAAGAAAAAAAAATTTGTGGCATTGTTTATCGCATAACCAATTATTTTTTGTTCAATAATAACTGTATTAACACCTGACTAGATAAAACTTTCAACTCAGGTACAGATTCCATTATTTATGCGTTTAAATTTATCATGCAAACTAAATACAAGAAATAGAATTAAATGAATGAAATACTCGTAATTGCCGACTAAATTTACAATAAGAAACTACCATTAAAATGGCAATTCAACAAAATTTTCCCATTCTGTGTCCATTTGAGAGAAACAAATTACCAGGTATTATTAAATAACGTGAATTATGTACATACAGGATGTCCCGGCTGCCATTTCCGATATTCAGATCAAAATTAGGTATTTTTACAATACCTACAAGGTGACTCTCTCTCATTTTCGCCCTTGTTCCAACCTGGAGAAACGACACCCCCCCCCCCCCCCCCCCAGCCGTTTAAGGGCCAATATTTTAATAACCAATCCGGTTTTCAAAGATATGTATTTTTGCAAAATTGTAGGACATTGGCCTACTTTCCACTCCACTTACATGTTTATGGAACTTAATTCTAGAAGCTTGGCTAAAGCCAAAAGAAACGCACTTTAAAACTAATTTAGGCAATCGTAAAAATATACATTGTAACCCAAAACATCCTATCAATTCCAAAAAATATCCTTGTACGTGTTGAACAGCCGAAAACCTACAAGATGACTTCTATATCAATCCAAATTGCAATAACAGATTGACATTAATCAAAACTTCTGGATGAAAATTGAAATTTTATATTAAAATACGATTTAGGGTAAAATTTATTACAGAACTCGTCAGTTTCACATTACTTGACTCAGAAATTAAAGTACTCGGCCTCAAATGGGGCCTCGTACTTCAATATTTCCTCGCCAGTAATGTGTCATTTTCCTGACCTTTATGTAAATAACTATTACAATTATACTATTTCCTTATATAGTCCAGTCAAATTATCATAATACCTTGCATCAGATATGTCATCTCTAATTTTTCTTTTAAATTGTTAGGATGAATATGGATGTCAAAAATCCAAGTTTTCGACATCCAAAGACCTGTGCGAGCAACGCAGCACTCGAAAATACGCAATTTTTTCTATTATTTTTAGGTTTTGGTTAGTTTTAGTTCTGAAGGACAGATTTTAAAGCAAACTGTCGTATACTTTTTTAAACTAGACAAAATTTGTGACAATTCAAGCCCTTAACCGGCTCTGTACGTCTAATAGTTTTGGAGATACAGCGTTTCAAAAATTCGTAAATTCTTCAGTTTTAATCAAATTTGCCGTTTTTTAGCATAAAAACCTCATGAACATTTTTATAATTTTGTTCGTTTGGAGGGACTTTGTGGTGAAGAGTCTCCATAAATCCGCACAGAAAGAGCTAGAATGTTGATATCCTCTGGATACCCAGCATCTCCCATGATAAGAAAGTTGGCATCATCTTCTTCAGCAAGATCCACTACCTGTTGCATGGATTCCGAAATCTGTGAATTTGTTCCTTTTGCCTGACCTTGCTCGACCATTCAAAAGGGACACCGAATATAGAAGATCTGTGACAGTAGCAGAAAGCCTTACTCACAACACTATGGTTTGAATGAATAAGGCATCATATAAACATGGACATTTTTCCACTAAAAGACAAAAAGCAATATTTAATTTGCTTTCATTATCCGCAATTTTAGCACTTCTTCAACAACAAGTTTATTACGACTCACGATTTACCACAATTCTTCGTGCATATTTTGTAAGTTTACTTTCTGCGAAGAAAAAACGCAAATTTTGATAAAACTTGTAAAACTAATAAATTTACCAATAGTTGAAGCGCCGTATCTCGGAAACTATTAGACTTGAGGAGATCGTTAAGGGCTTAAATTTTCAGAAATTTTGTCTAGTTCAAAAAAGTATATGACAATAATTGCATTAAAATCGGTTCTTCAGGAGTAAAACTTACAAGAACCAAAAAATGGTAAGAAAAATGACATATTTTCAAGTGCTGTGTCGCTCGCACAGGTCTTTCAATGTCGAAAACTTGGATTTTTCACATCCATATGCATCCTAACAATTTAAAAGAAAAATTAGAGAAGACATATCTGATGTACGGAATGCCCATTTTTTGGTCTAATTTGACTGTACTAATAGTATAAGTAAGGGAAAGAGAATGTTACATTTGTTGCCATGGCTCTTTCATCCCATGTTTCCATCCTTTACAAGATCAATTGGCACAAACTTCCACTTTAATTGATCAAATTTCATTCGCCCACTTTATCGTATAGTTGCGCAAATCGAAATAATGAATTTTTGTTCCAGGTGGAATGTCTTTACGCCTCGTCGAACTACGAATTCCAAGCCATGCCGTACGAAATCAAAGCGCGCGTCTTGAGTGCCACTTCGACCTGGACGGCGAGACATTGTACTCCGTCAAATGGTACAAGGACGGAAATGAATTCTATCGGTTTGTTCCTCGTAATATGCCACCTGTCCAAGTCTTCCAACTGAATGGTGTCACGGTCGATGTAAGTTCACAGTAATTATTAAATATCAAGATATTAAATCTGGAAAGGTCAACGCAAACTACCCGTCTATCGATCTGTACTCACTGTCAAAATGTTGCGTTGCATGTTTGTAGGGCGAAAAGGGTTGAAAAAATAAATATATGTGTCTGTGTTCAACATGCTAAATAAGATTAACTTAATTTCGTATGTAGGTATACTTGATTACGGAGGGGAGATAAATCTAATTAAAACATGGATTTAGTTTAAATCTCGGCGTGTATTTAATAGGCACAGGTTTGCTACCCCACTATACAGGTAGCGTAAGAAGAGGGCGTAATTAATTTTATTCTTTTACTTTTGGAGGTCGTAGATAATAAACTGCACGAGAATAACTGTTGCCTAACGCCACATTAATCGAAAAACAATTAAGAATAAACTACAAAAAGATTTTCATTAACGGACGTTTAAAAAGTTTTTGAATTAATTTCCCCCTAATTATTCTGGAATCGTTTAATATGATGCAGCATGAGCACGCAGATTTATAAGTAAAAAGAACGGAACAAAGATTCTTTGAAGCTTTTAACCGATACGGTTTTACAGTTTGGATAATTAGCGTCTCGAAAACATTTTACCAAGAATATCGTATTGTGGAAGAATGTGAGGAAAAACGTTTCACATCTGTCGTCTTTTGCAACAAAATTGAAAAATAAAACTCCCCCCCTCATAGGTATTCTGAAACATTTAATCAAGTTGGGTTGAATTGAATACGTATAGGTTTTTCTAATATATCCGCGAAGATACAGCACTTATGAAAATAATTTTTGATTAGCCGCATTAAAAAGGGAGCTATTTTTTGTCGCCCTTAACTTAAATTAACGAGTTACTTCGAAAAACTTCGCAACTTTCTTTGTAAAATACGAATTGACGAATACCTAAGTACTGAAATCCGAATTGTAACTAAAAATTGTCATAGTGCCCACCTGGAAGAGGGAACTCACGTTCAAAATTAGTTCATTCTTTAATTCCATCATACTAATCTGCATCCAAATGCTCGTTGCAGAAATCATTTAATATTAATTTGACGAGGTTGCGTGTAGTGGAAACTGAATTGAAGAAGGCAGGAAGGGCGATGTCTTCTAATCGGCAAATTCCAAGACTTCCAAATCGAATAGGTAGAGAGGCGGTATTATATAGATCCAGGTTTAGTTTACAATTGAAGAATTCTTTCTAGACTAGTTCTGATGTTATTGTCTGTTGAACGAAGCAAGTTAATAATAGTTTTCCATAGTCTTGATCTTAATAGATAAGTAAGTTTGAGGATCAATAGGCAATTGTTGAGTAGGAAGAAAGAGATATGTGTCCACATTATTGAGTTTTTCTTAGGGAAGATTAATTTCGATGATTTTCCTTTTAAAAGTTTCATCAATAGCCGAAGATGTGAGATTGATATGGCTTCCTAGTAATTCCACACCGTCACAAATTATATTAATTCCAGGAGAAATTTGGTTATGTTTCGTTGAAATATCTTTATTCTTTTCGGAGGGGAAGAATCATTCGCATTTTGATGTGTTAATTTCGAGTCCGAGTTATTTGAAGGAGTCAAAGATTGTGGTAAAATCAGATAGAATGACGTGCGATAACTCTTGAAGGATCCTAGAGATTTGAAAATAGGAATATACCTTCTTTTTTGTTTTGAATTTAGGGTCAAATGTACAAATAACAGCCCGATTCTTCGATACTAAGCTTATTATTTTATTTAGGAGTTTTTCAAGTGAGGTCTACAGAATTTCCTACTGTGTTCCAAATCTGTGTTTGAAGAAACTGTTTAAATTACCTAATTAACTCGTACGTAAAACTTCTGACTTGTCCGAAAAAACTCACTTCTCGTCCTTGGTACACAAACCGACTATTGTTTGTTAAGTATTTGCTATGCTACGAAGCTGCTCTGTCAAGAATTTTTGGCAACTGGTTTTAATTTAAATTTCAAAAACCCTAACGTGAATATGTAGAGAATTGAAATTCCTTTTTTCTACTCACAGCACATTGCTAGAAATTCTCCATATTTGGTAAACCGAAGACCATTTTTTGTAATAAACGGATTACTTATTATTGATATGGGCGGTTATGGTAGATAAAGCAGTTGTTTATACCAAACATTTATTATTATTATTAGGCCTCGTATCAGTATTTGAAACACAAAACCGTCCCTATACTAATTTAATTAAAAATACATAAGTAATACATACTTTATGGAAATTACATATTAAAACGGGACATTTTAGCACTGTTATTGTAAGGTACCTTTACACTATCATACTTCTCATGTGATTTGTCATATGATAAGTAACAAGCATTTAGATTTGTGTTTACACTAGGTATACTATTTTTGGTATTATGGCTGTCATAAGACAAATCATAAGGAAATAATACGTAAATCGTGGAATAGGGATGTTTCTATTTCTGCATGACAAATGACATGACTTATTTTAAATATCCAAGTGATCCCGCCCTTTTATGGTTACTTTTCGCATTTTGCTGTTGTACTTATCTGAAAAAGCTGAATACTTGAGTAAACCAGTAAACTTTTGATTATATCATTGATTATAGGTATATTAGTTACTAATGAAAGAATAAATTACATAAACAATAAATCGAGCAATAAATATTTACGAGTATATTGGTATTTGGTTGTTTGGTTGTAGTGGTGTTTTCAGACACACATTGTCAAATAGGGTCTTGATTGGTAATTAACCCTTCAAATGTTTGGGGTAATCTTTCAAATAAGGGTACACTCATCCTTAATGTCGACCAAGGGGAGGACTCTGTTTGCTTTGTTAATGCAACGCATAACGGAGAAATTATTTTTAAAATAATTGTTAAACTTTTTTCGTTAAAAATGTACTATGATTTTTGAGGCACTTTAGAGGTTCACCTATTTGTGCTTTACAGGTGATTGTTTTGAGTTCTAAGTTAGCCTGAAGGTACTTTTTTGTTGAATACTTATTGTGATAATTAGCGATTTATTTTAGTACAGAAGTTAACTGCACTAAATTACTTATTTGCCAATTTATTTAAAATTTTGCGGGATCCCCTCTAACGATCCCGCAAATACCGGGTTCCCGCGGGATTAACATCGAACGATCCCGCAAATACCGGGATTGAGATTTTGCTGCGGGATTGCATTCCCTAGCTGTAACTTTTGAACTAGTAGCCCAATCTTGGAACTGTTTGAAATTATGGATTCTACAGGCCACGTTCTATAAGAAAAAATTTTTTCCGGGTCGATCTGAGACAATTTTTTTTCGGGGCAAAAAAAGGCAGTGTATAACCTTCTTTTTTTTCCAAAGATCGACTGCACCAAAATTTCTCGGGAAAACACTGTTTCTTATTAATTTTGGTGCGCAGAATCCAAAACAATTCGTACTTTTTCGATCAGACTTCTCAATCAAAAGTTATAGACTAGAAACCAATTTCGAAAGAAGATTCAAAGGACTGTAACTTTTGAACTAGTAGCCCAATCTTGGAACTGTTTGAAATTATGGATTCTACAGGCCACGTTCTATAAGAAAATTTTTTTGCCGGGTCGATCTGAGACAATTTTTTTTTTCGGGGCAAAAAAAAGGCAGTGTATAACCTTCCTTCTTTCAAAAAATCTACTGCACCAAAATTTTGTCGGGAAAACACTTTTTCTTATTAATTTTGGTGCGTAGAATCCAAAACAATTCGTACTTGTTCGATCAGACTTCTCAATCAAAAGTTATAGATTAGAAACCAATTTCGAAAGAAAATTCAAAGGGCCGTAACTTTTGAACTAGTAGCCCAATCTTGGAACTGTTTGAAATTATGGATTCTACAGGCCACGTTCTATACGAAAAAATTTTTCCCGGGTCGATCTGAGACAATTTTTTTTTTCGGGGCAAAAAAAGGCAGTGTTAACCTTCCTTCTTTCAAAAAATCGACTGCACCAAAATTTCTCGGGAAAACACTTTTTCGTATTAATTTTGGTGCGTAGAATCCAAAACAATTCGTACTTTTTCGATCAGACTTCTAAATCAAGTTATAGACTAGTAGCCCAATCTTGGAACTGTTTGAAATTATTATGTTGAAATTATGGATTCTACAGGCCACGTTCTATAAGAAAAATTTTTTTCCGGGTCGATCTGAGACAATTTTTTTTTCGGGGCAAAAAAAGGCACCTTCATTTTTTCCAAAAATCGACTGCACCAAAATTTCTCGGGAAAACACTTTTTCTTTTTTGGTGCGTATAATCCAAAACAATTCATACTTTTTCCGATCAGACTTCTCAATCAAAAGTTATAGATTAGAAACCAATTTCGAAAGAAAATTCAAAGGGCTGGTAACTTTTGAACTAGTAGCCCAATCTTGGAACCTGGAACATTTTAATTTAGAGAATATATATAGGTTTCGTAACTTCTTGTATTAAAGTCATATGAAAAACCTGCTAAGTGTAAAGTAAAACATTAAGAGCCGAATTCAGAGTCCTTCCTAATTTCAAACTCACACTCAACTAGTTAGTCACTCATTTCTAACTCAAGTTAGTGCGAATCCTGCTCATTCTCACTTTTGGTATTCAGAGAACATCTGTAATGCGTGACTAATTTGAGTGGGGTTTTAGTATGGAATCTGTCAAAAATATTGTTAGGGGAACGATTGGTAGTGGAAATTTTACCAAGTAACTAACAAACCGCTCTGGAAAGGCTAACTTCAGCATAAACAGATATTTAATTTGAACTTGTTTCTGACGTTTTCGCAAATCTCATAGTTTTTGTTAGTCTTCTTATTAGTTTATGTTATTGGGGTTATTAATTTTGTTACTGTTAATATTGTTCTTATCGTCATAACTATGAACGCCAATAAAAAACCATTTATGACCGGAGATGAGAAGATTTTTAGCATTGGAAATGCTTATGTTTTGTATGGGTTTGAAGTTACTGGTTAGTCGAGCAGAAAAGAAGACAATTGGTGTCGCATCAAGTGATGACTGTCCCGTACTTGACTGC